GTTGCTTCACCCTCAAGCAACGAGCGCGGATCATGGTGGGCCTCGAACATCCGACCTTTCGATTGAGAGGCGGAGACGTAACCACTTCACCACCGCTCCCCCATTGTTATTAAGCAGCGAAATTAAGCAGTAGTTATGTATATCTAGCTTACTATCTGTTACATAAATTGATAACACCTTAACGTACATAAGTTGAGTGAGTAAAATTCCAGATTCGAAAGACAAACTGACCGAATATGTCATATGTGCTGCAATAACGATGGAATCATCGATACCTTCTGATTATTAAAGTTTGAGGCGATTTATTACTTAACGAAAAGTGCCAGAAAAAACACAAATATTGCAAAGCAATCGTAATTTTGATAGTTGGTACAGAATATTATAAAAATAATGGCATGCCATTTACATTTTTCTGGAGCGCTAGATTTTCTGTCGTTTTCTTTGTTAAGAATTCAATAAAGTTAACGTTTTCGCCCAACTGAATCATCGTGCCTCCTCTGTTTTTTTTTCAAAAGGACCTGTTTTTTTTTTAAATGGAAACTATTCCATTTAAAAAATTTTGTCGGCTTATTGTAGTTGCTTTTTATTTTGTTTTCATTTACTCCTGCAATTTGATATTCTACTTGCCTTGATTTCGTAGTTTTTTCTTTTTTTTATTTGTTTTCGATTTAAAAAAATTTTGGCCTAAACGATTTCGGCTGATATTTTATCGGCTTACTAGCCTAATTTTTTCATAACAACAATTTTTTTCCTTCAAAATTTGTTCTTGAATTTTCATTAGAACGCCGTCGAATGTGTTTCTGGACGTGTTTTCCGCAAATAGAACATCTTTCCAGACAGCATTCTGAAGTTTTTTCAGTTGTGGTTTCTTCAAAAAAATTTCCGTTTTCATTGGGCTCTGTGCTTCCTTTCCTTTCCTGTTTGGTATCTAAAAAATTTAGTTAAATCATTAAAATCACATTCTCCAGATGATCTTTTCAAGACATAATTTTTCATTCCACAAGATTTCGAAATTTTCGACTCTATTTGCAAAGCGATCAATACTAGGTTTCACTCTAGGTGAGCGTGAGAGGAGACAGTGGGCGATGCATAAGTCCTTCTCGTCAGTGGTGCCTCCAAATTCTCATGATAGACTGACAATTGTCTTCTCGACGGAAGGCGTCATTTTCTTCATCGCATGCACTAAAGCAGATATCGGCCTATTCCCAGTTGCTTCAGTAATTTCGTTATTGACTTCAGTGTCGTCTAATGGTATTGGAATGAGTTGAGTTCTTGTTCCGTCTCTGAAACTTTTTAATGAGTATCGCAGCAATTAGGCTGTTAGGTTATGAAAAACTTGCAGGGGTTCTCTTTTCATCATCTTTTTTTTATACTTACTGGGCTTTTTCCACAATTGGGTATCAACTTCTGTCGTGATTTAGATGGTGGTAAACATGTTCCATAAAGTTTTAAGTGCACCCTGTTTTTTTTCATATGTATTTAATATTTTTATTAACAAAATTAACTGAGTTGTATTTTTCTGTGCTGCTTAAAAGTCGTGTAGCTAGTCTTGCTGTGATGTAGCTCTCCTTCTTAATATTAGCGTTCTTCAGTTTCCAAGTTTAGATCTTTTAAATTACTGATTGAAGTGGTTTTAATTAGTTTTTGAAAATTACCACTGTACTTATTCAGCGTCAAACAGCCCTTCAAGCAGATGTGATAACTATTTTTTGCCTTTTACACGCTTTTTGTTCGGAAATTTATGCTTGGGTGGTTTTTACTTCAGACCAATTTCGGCTTTTTAACTAATCGTTGTTTTAAGGGTTTTTAAAAGCAACCTGGAAAATTTTGATGTCTTCATATTAGAATGATATTGCACGTGTTATAATTTTTTTGCTAAGGTATGGGTTTTCAAAATTGACAATTTGAGACAATTACCGCGCGCTGTTTATCATTTTTCAAGTAACTGTAGCGTAAGCTGCAAATTAATCTGGCCCAGAAATCATTGCCCCTGATAAGCAAGGGTGTTGCAACTGGGTACTAGAGTTTTCCCCGTTAATAACTTTGTTCACAAGACGACTGAAAATGGTAGTCCGCTCCAAATCTGTAATTTGGTTCATTAACAGGCAAATTTAGCAAGAATTATCAAATCAAAATGTAGACTTTTTTCGGGTTAATAACTAGTTTAACAAAATCAGTTGAATCACCTGTTCAAGTTCAATTAAAGCTGATCATACAGGCGATTTTGACAATGCTTTGTAGCTGACATGCTCAATTTTATAAAATTTCATAATTTTGTTCATACGCTTATTTGAATTTCAAATGTCTGAAAATGTATGGAATTGGGTTTTTTGTTTTATTTTTTTTTGAGACGCTTTAGCTAAGCCTTGTTAATTTTGGCGAACCGTTTTGTGTGCCTGCATTCCCCTGGTATCTTTTCGTTTTACCCCTTTGGCTGCAGCGTTCGAAAAGTTCTGTTGGGGGAATATTTGACCGATTTTTTTAAAAATTTTCTTTCGTTTTCTCAAAAACTAACCTACCAAATTTGAGTTTTTGTTTTCAGTGATAAAAACGGATTTTAAAAGTTTCCATCAATAAGCGGCTAAGCCCAAATTTTTTTCTGATAAATTTATGGCCCTCGGAATAGTGAAATGTTTGATTTTTTTAACCGTTTTTATAAATCTTTTCGACTTTTCTCGACAACTAACCTCCCAAACTTGAGGTTCTAGGTTCAATGGAGATAACGGGTTGTGGGAAGCTGCACTGAATTAACGGCACTCACGTTTTTTCAAAATATATGGTTATCGTCCTCGGAAAAGTCAATTATTGATTATTTGAACGTTTTTTTTTTAAGTTTATGATTTTTGCCAAACAATACCCTGGCATATCTGAGATTTGGGTTGAATCCAAAACACGGATTGTGGGAAGCTTCTTTTGCATAGGGGACTACGCCCAAAATTTTTTAACACAAAAAATTGTGGCACTCAAAAGTTCAAAGTCAAAAATTGTGGCACTCAAAAATTTGAAGTCAAAAATTTGATGTTAAACCATTTTTTTAAACCAAGAAGCTATGATTCCGGTAACTGTCAACTTTCTGATTTGTTGATTGTTTTTCTCGATAAATATCCTGCCAAATCGGATATCATAGGTTGAATTGACACAGCAGGAACCTTTATATTTTGCTGCACCCAGTTTCTCTAATAAAAAAATTGTGGCCTTCAAAAAGTGAAAGTTTTGAAACTTTGACCGTTTTTTGGAAGTTTTTTGACGTTACACTAAAATAACCAAGCCAATTCCCAAATTGAAGTGTTCAATCGAGAAACCCGATTTTGGAATCTTTTTTACCGGCCACGGCCTGTTTTTAGCAGAAAAAATCGCCGATTTCGGAAAGTCAATTTTTTAAACTTTGACCGTTTTTTAGAGACTTTTTGAATTTTCTCAAACACTATCCCATCAAATCTGAGATGAAAATGTCAATCGAAACGAGCGGTTGCGCGAATTTTTTTGCAGAAGTGGCTACTCTTTGAATTTGTTAGAGAAATGTTATGTCCCTGGGAAAATTCAAAAATCTCAAAATTTTCACTCTTCTCACTTATTCCAGTTGAGAAACAACTAAGTTCAATTTTTTAAATTACGCAATTCTTCCCGCGTAAATATAACAAATTCAAAAAATATCATAAACAAACCTCCAGTTTTAGCTGGGACATAGGTGTCCTTCATCGAGACATACGAAAATTTTGGTTCACCTTGTTTTTCAACGTTTTTTTTTTACTTGTCTTTTTTTATGATTACGTTGTATCGCCTCTGTAATTAAAATGCCCATTCTATTCAAATTTGATTATACATGTTGGTTGAAAATAAATTATGGCAGGTTATTAATTTTGTCGTTTTTTTTTAAATTTTTTTATTCGGCTTATATAATATCGGCTTAGCGGCCTCATTTTGAGTCGTCCTATGAGCAAAAAAGTTTTTATCTAAATATTTTGAGGAATGACGTAAAAAGTTTTTATCGGTGTTATGAAAACATTTTTTTTTCGGCTAAGTTTTGTTTCTGCTGAAGATTTGTTGACTTTGTTACTGACTTGTACGTGTTGTTTCGATGCTAATTTAAGTTTCGATAATCCTACTTGGCGTGTTTTTCTGAAGGACAAAGCAAGACACTGATATGATTTTGTGGTAGATCAGTTTCATTCTTTGTTCGAACATTATTTTCGAGCTTTTTTGTCCGCCGATTTTGTTTTATCTTTCATCTAGTTGGTCAAGTAATGTTTGTGTTGTATCGCAAGCTAGTGTGTTGCATTATGTATATGTTGTATGTTTGTGTCGTCTTGGTATGTTCTAAAAATTAATTGAGATTAGATAGTTGAACCACATAAAAGCAGTTTGTTGCTAGATGCAAAATATATCACTTCTTGCTTATCATTGGAAGGAAGATTTGATTGAATAACTTTATCAAAGTTTTGAAGCAAAAAGCAGTCTTTTTTAATTTGAAATTTTTGACAGAGTTTGGAGCACAAATAGCATCTTTCTTTTGCTTTGCTGTTTTCATTTAAGTTTTTAGTTAAAATAGTTCCATTTTTTACACAATACAATTTTCAAGCTCATTTCGAAATCAATTACTAAGTGGAAGGCACATAAATCTTTCCTGTAACAAAAATTCAAATGGCGGGAAAAAACGCGAACGGCTTATAGTTTCAAAATTGGATTTTATATTTTAGATTTCCTAGCGGAATAAAGTAATTGCCTCTTAATCCAGCTCTCTTGTTGGGTTGTTTTCTGAAACAAACGCCATACATAATACTTTTATCTATTTTTGCTGCAAGTTCATTTTTAGAATAATTCAATTTTCTACATCATACCTTTCATCTACAAGGATCCACAATTATTAAAAGAGAACCGTTTTTTTTCTACCGCTCCTGATAAGACCTAAATGATTGACTGTTTTTGAGCTGCAAATTGTTGCCTCGTGACTTCACCACCTATGCACAATATATACATTTTTGTAAACTAAAATCTTATTATAGATTTATGCTTGTTGGTTCGATCAGATTTCAAATTACCTTGCATGAAAGACCACTATGCAGAGTCTGATGAAAATTTTCAAGAAGGACAACGGCGACGGGCTGACACCATCTGCTGCCATAGATCAGTTGGGAGATGAAATGCTTTCGCAGATACTCTTAGAAGTGCCATCACGTGAACTAGTGTTAAAGGCGACCTTTGTGAACAAACAGTGGGCTAATATTCTGAGCGACAGTGTTTTTTGGATTAGAAAGTAAGTTTTTTTTTTGCTTTTTTCTGATTTATAGCTATTCATCAATATTTTGAAAATGCCGATATGTTGGCTTCCTTTCGACTTAGTTTCATGTTCCTGTTCATGCGAAGTCAGCACTCCGTACGCAGCATGTTTATCATCGCTCAAAATCATTGCATGTTGAGGCACACATTTTTTTAATCTAGTTCATTTTCCACTAGATTAGCCAAAGAAGGAGTGCTTATATTGGATAACTTGAAGACGAAATTGTTAGAGTGTGAGGATGAGCAAATTTGTGTGTTTATTCTGAAGGCAGTCGCAACTAAAGACTTGACCGCCTTGCCCATCTGCAGAAATCTTCTCAAAAATCCATATGCTGCAGGTATTCACTTTAGGCCAGCGTTACCAAAAACAGTTTTTTTTTTCAAATTGCTTTTTTCCATTTCACTCTTTCGAGAAAATATTCTTTTTTACAAAATATTTTCATTTGCAGCATAATTGAAGCTGCTGGCTGTTCTTTATGTGAAAAATTTGAGCAAATGTGCATTTCTCATTTTTTATTGACAACTGCTCTTTCTCAAAGCATCTTAAAGAAAAGTTTGTGGTGCTGAAGAGAGAGTTTCTGAATGTATATTTAGTGCTGACTCTAATGATTTGGACGAGGCAATCAAAACAGGATACCTGAAACAAGTCTGTCTCACAAATGTTCGTTTTTGGGCTAATGCGTTTGACTTGAAATTTCACAATAACTACTGGGCCAACCTTTGTACCTGACTGACTAAATTTACAATGAATATAATCTCTTAGCTTTGGCTGATAGTTTTTAAATTGCCATACAACCTAGAAGTTTTCAGTTTTTTTAATGCAAACGGCCTGTTTTGAGTATCAATCGTACATAAAATATCGTTTGTCCAAAATTAAAACTTTTATAAAATTTTGGTAATTTTTTTATTTGTTTTCAACCGAAAGGGTAATTTTTACACAATTTATCCAGAATTTGACTTGTTGAGTTATGACCGACGTGGTTAACTCATAGAGTAATTTCGGATAGGGTACACCGTCTGCTCGTCACGCTATCTTATTTTCGGCCGGATAGATTCGTGCAACTTCTTAGTCTAATACCGATCCTAATCTTACTCTTATACTATCTAGTCTCAGGTTGTTTAACTAGTCTCTGCTAGGCTCAATAGATCTAGGGTATACTGGTTTATTGCGGCTGCTGAAGTTCTCTTGGAGAGGCAACTAATTTCTAAGTTAAATTCAAATCTCTCTGGTGCTGAAATTACAAGTAATTTCAGCACTTACAAATAAGTGGGTTGTTAGTTAGATGGATCATGATTGGTTAATATTAAATACTTTACAGTGGTAAAATATCTAATTTATCCAATCATAAAATGTAGTTTAGATCAGGTTCCACCCATCCGGGTTTTACAGAGTTTTTTAGAATTGTCCTTCTGCAGTTCAAAGGATGGATGATGGACGTTGGTATTTGGCGAACATCATATTTCTTCTGGGTTCTCTTGTTAGAGAAGTTCCAGGTTCAATCGCTGTGTCTTCTCATGACAACGACTGGGTTTTCGCAACAAACTCAAATCTGATTTCAGAATGGTTGGCTATGACAGGTTTTTCTGTTCCATGTAGAGAACTTCTTTTGTGTTCAACCTAGTCTGGGAATGGCGTGGAGATTGTGCGTGGAGGGGATGCCTGGTTACTCGGATCTGTACGTATACTTGAACATCGAGGTGGTCATTGGTCTAGTTCAATGAAGTTCTTTTCTGCGAAGTCAAGTCGTACTCTAAATCCTTTGAGTTGTGATTGTGGACGGCATATTGATTGTGGTTGGCCATTCTTTTTCGAGTGTAGTGGGGTCCTTTTGTCTTTGGATGTTCGTCTTTGGTGTTGTATGCTGATCTATATACTGCAAGGTATAATTTACATTTTATAAAATTTCTATTAGTTTGGTGTTTTAATTATGATTTTGGTTAGTTGTTTTCACAAAAGCTTTTTGTTTTAGTTCGGTTATTTTGAAGAGTTACTCACCCTTGAGTACCTCTTATTAAAAATAGAAGTGTGGTCACAAAGCGTGGATGTAGCGCGGTGGGTTAGGCCGGCTATAGAGCATGCTCAGGACGTCCTCTCTGGTGGGTTAGGCCAGGAGTGGGAGTATGATTTCGTGCGGTTTCTGTGAGAGGTCCTGTAATGTGATAACGTTTTATGTCGGGTTTGTGGTGGTTTTTCTTATGTTTCGTTGGTTGTGTCCTTTTTTCAAAAATCAAATTGTTTTTGGTATGGGTTTGTCTTTCGACTTTTTTGTGTTTTATTATTTCTTTCTTAGACTTTATAATAGTCTTCAAAAGAATAAATTATCCAGTTTTAAACTGGGTTAATCCGGTTTGGGTACCGTTGGTTTTCTTTTCTTAGTCATGCTGTTATTCTATGTGTTGTGGTGTTTAGTAAGCTGCGTTGGTTAGTTTTGTTTAGTATATAATTCCTTTCCAACCGGGTTAAAGGAAAGTTTGAAATTTGTTATTGTGTGTTAGAGTTGTTGAGTGTGAAAGCTTGAAACTGAAATTCATTATTTAAACAATTCTTCGTGGGCGAGCTGTGCGAGTTTGGATAGAATTCTTGTGCGAGTGAATGGAAATATCAAAATGTTAGTACTGCATTTTCGTCTTATCAATTTACTACATAGAATTTCAATTTTACTGCTAGTTTTGGGGAAAATTAAGTTACAAATTTTCATCATTATTAGAATTACTGCTTTTAGGGAAATAATTTATAAATTAATTTACTACATTGGTATGAACTTTATTTAATTTAGCTGGTGCAAAAGATTATTAGAGTTTTGAACAATTTGAAGAAGTTTTCTATTTTTTATTTTTCTTTTGTGTATTTTGCAGATGATCGTGAGATGAAGACTAAAAATCAAAATGAGACATGGATAAAGAATGGTTAGTTTTTTAATTTGAATTTATTAGTTAAGAATATGTATAAATTATACTTACCTGTTAGTCGTCGGGGAAAAAACCATGGGGGAAGATGTCGTGTATTATGTCGGAGTTAGTGAGTAATTTTGCTAGTATGCGAATGATGTTTTTAGTTTGAAGCAGTGGCCAAAGCAATTGAAGTGCTTTAATGGTTTTTAGTTCTTCAGTACCAACTGCAAAATCATAAGGTGTGTTTTGGATGAGATTATATAATTTGTGATTGTATTTAGTGTTGTGGATGAATTCTAATATTGGGATTTCTATAGGTTGAATAAATTCATGTGGGATAAGGAAGGGTCTGGATTCTTCTGCGTTGAAGGTCTTCGTGATGGGACAAAAAATATACATTTGGGTTATGGGATCATAATTGCGAAGAATACCGTGAAGGTTAGTATCTTTGATGCAATATGTGAAGTTAAGAAAAAATGGTGAAGTGTACTTAGAGTTAATAAATTGAAAACGGTGGTGTGGTTGTCTTGATGGAGTGTGTAGATCAAAGTGATTTTGTATGAAGCGATAATATGTATATGTGTGGGTTTGTTTAGTGCGTAACATAATACCGTGTGAGCAGTGCAAATCTCGTTCATGTGGTGCAAGGAAATGAAAGGTTAGTGAAAACAATTGAAATTTTTCTTTAAAACTTTCGTAAGCTTGTGTGTCGGTTAGTGCTTCAGAAATGATGTGATCGAATTTGCGATCAAATATATTGAGTGTAAATACATATGGTGTTTTGATGAAGAATTTTTCTGTGATTTGTGGGTTAGCGAAACGGTCATCACTAAAAATTGGTCTTGGTTAGCTCGGATGATGTTATGATCGTAATATTCTAGCGTGTATTCGTTAGCTCGGGGTACAGTGTGTGTTTTTAGTGACTTTTTATATCCTATATAAGTAAATTGTCTATGTGTTAGTGATGTGGTGAGTCGATATAGCATATCTTGATTTCTTTCTATATCGATGTGAGTATTAGATAAAGGTAGGCAAAGGGGTTTAGTAAAATGATAATATGATGTCCAATGAAGTGTAGGCATTAAAACTTGTTCATCTACAAAACTACGTGTGTCGTTAGTGTTGTTAGGAGTGTTCAAAGTATATTGTGGAAATGAAGGTAAGGTGATTGCTAAAAGATCTTTCGTGTTAGTGTGATTTGAATGGTTAACATATTCACGGGCTGTTCCTGGTTTTGTTGGGAATGGATGGTTCGGGAATTTTCTTTTGAAAGTGCGATAAGCTCTATTAGTGCTATTTGATGATTCGGTGGATGTGGATGATGGTGCTAATGATGCGGTATAAGCTGAAGAGGGTGTAGGGGTAGGTGGGTTTGATGATTCTATTGTGGATGAAATCTGATTTATAGTGGGGTTTTCAAGGTGGAAGGGTTGTTGTTGTAGGGTGATAAAATTATCTAGTTCCTGGGAGATTTGGGGAGTATCTGGAGAATTGGATGATCGGTCTGAATGAAATGAAGAGTAGGTTGGGGTGACTTGTGAAGCATAAGAGGGTGTAGAAATGGATGGAAGTGGGTTATTTGGTGGGATTGGTTGAAAATTATTGGATGGAGATGGTTCAGAGTCTGCAAATTCATCAGGGGTTTCGATATTTGGGTTATTGAGTTGTGAAATGGAGTATAAAACTGAGATATGTGAGTTAGTGTCTGAATTCATGCCTGATGTTACATTATTGGTTGGGAAATCGGGTGGCGGGAAAGCAAAAAGTGGAATTATTGTAATTGGAGTGTTGAGGTTGGTTGGGTGGGAATTTGAGCGGTGTAGGGATCCAAGTTGTCGGCTCATCGTGGGCTAAAAAAATTATTATTTTGAGACTGAAAAGCGGTGGTATGGGGTTGTTCTATAATTTGTTCATATGTATTTTCATCTAGTGAATGGTGTGTCATTATATGTTGAATGGGACTTTGTGATATGGTTGGTCTGAAATTTGGGTTATGTGTTATTGCTAAATTTCGAAAATTTCGTGGGACTAGGGATAATGGATGGTTTTGTGGTAGGGGTGGTAACTGTGGTGCTGTAGGCGTTATTTCTACATTGTTATGTTCTTCGTCGTATGTGTTCTGTCTTGTTGCTTTTTTGTATTGTATTCTTTTATTTGTGCGTCTAAAAGAATTTTGTTTATCGATGATGAAAAAATTCCAAAGAATCCTGCAAATAGTATGCGTGCTACACTTGCTTGTCTATTGACTTGTGTGTGTATAGCACATGTGTTATAGATTCCTTTTAAAAGTGAAAAAAGAAATCCTATAAAGTTAAACATTGCGTATAGAATAGTCAATTTTTCTAAGATGTAATAGGGCCATCCTAGAAAATCAAGAATTTCATTTTTTAGTGTAACGAAGCTAAAAATGTTTATAGGTGAGATATCTTGTGGTCGGTATTTTTCA